CAGGTTATCTTTGTGTAGTATTAAAATTTGTTTGATGATCTGAATCTTTTAAGTGTGACAAATATGCAAAAAACAAACAAACAAAAAAAAAACATGAAGGGGGCAAAAACTTTTTCAAGGCACTGTATATATATATATATATATATATATATATATATATATATATAGTTTTATATGATCAATTGTCACCCTCTCTCTGACCCTCAGAATTGAACTGTTTTTTTTTCTGCTGTACCTTTAAGACCTCTACATGTAAATGACTTTTGTCATTAGGGTGATTTGATGAATATTAAAGGAATTGAGTGCATTTACATGCACACTGCACAATCTTAAAATAATTATGCTTAAGCCAACAACATGTACATTTTCAGAGAAAAGTCTAATGTGAACGCAGTTATCTTGCGCTGTTAGGTTTTTCTAATGAGCTGATTTTTGATAGCTATCAGTGTTTCTCACTGATATATACTGTAAATGAGGGCTGACATATGTTAGCAAAGCCACGGCTTGATTGTCAATATAGTGATTTCTGAACAAGTTTTGGTGATATAGCCTCTTTAAAACACAAGGAGTTCAATCAAAGTACACTGAGGTGGTTTCATTGAGATTCTGTGCAGGCAATACAATGGCTGGTCTTAAGTCTTACCTTCCTCTGCGGAGAGTTTTCATCTACCGTGCTGAGAGATGAGAGGGGTAGGAAGATGAGGGAGACAGAAAGAAATAGAGAAGAATGAGCCAAAGGGCTCGCTTGAAATATAAATGTGCCATTATATCAATACTGCAAGATGGCATCTCCCACCCGCTGCTAGGAACGCTCGTAAAAAGCCTTTTCTCATTCAGATCAGGCCCGAATCATCAGCGCTAACATTAAAGTCTGACACGACGTGATTTACTGATTGCCTCATCTAAATGAAAGCGTGCAACGTCCTCATCCATGCACACCTCATTCTGATTAAACAGCCTGATAAAACGGGCAATCGGAGGGAGCTTTATAGTCTCCATATTCCCCATCTGATGCCTCTCTAATTAATCATTGGCCTTTCATGAAGCACCAGCAGGCGTGTGATGTATAGCCGAGAGGTCAAAGCCAGGACTTCTGCTTACTAAACAGAAATATTGGATAAGAGCTCATATGCGAAGCAGAATTAATTCATTCTGCTCGGTCCTGATCTGAATATTACAAAGCCACTTTCCTAATTCTGTGTTAATAAAGTTCAAGTCTTATGCACTAAAGAAGCCAGACCCTGACCTTACTGTAGTTACTGCATAAACACGGCTGTCCAGGCTTCAGAAAGCAAGGCAAGGTGAGACATGTTTTTTTTTTTTTCAGACAATTTTTAGTACTTTTATATTTTTGTAGTTCTTTAAATAGAAAAAAAAAAACATAATATATGTTTTTGTAACTGGTTAGAGTATAATAATTAAAATAATAATTATTACTAGTAACTAGTAATTAATTACTTTTTTAGAGTAACTAACTCAACACTATATACTGTATACACACACACACACACACACACACAGTGTTGAGTTAGTTGCTCTAAAAAAGTAATTAAGTACTAGTTACATCTCCAACAGTGTAATTAGATTACTGTACTAATTACTCTCTTTAATAAGTATTGCATTACTTATTACTAATTACTTTCTAAATACCATATCAACCTTGACCATTTGAGCAATACAAGGATAGACACAAAACTGCTCTTTTAATTGTCAAATTAATAGCATAAAGCTGCATAAATTATTCTTGAATTGACCAAAGTATTTAAATGGAGAAGGTTACATTAAAGAACATACATTTTAACATTAGATTTTGATGTTAAATCTACTATAGTTTTATATATAATTGCTCTACCGTCTATACAGTATTTAATGCAATTACAGTAGAATTAACTGTAATTACATGACAGTAAAACTAAGAGTATTCCCTTATTTTACTTTTTCAAGAGAAAAGTAATTACAGTAATTAAAGGAATATCTTCTATGTTCAACATAAGAAAGAAAAAAAACAGACACACACACACACACACACACACCTCTATATCGGTATTACAACACAACTAATAACTAAACCTGGTACTAATCAGCAATGATTTACTGTAAAGTAAAATATAATAATAATAATATAATTTAAAATGTATACTATAATATTACAATAAGCTGACAGCCAGTGATTGGCATACTTTTTATTGTAAAAGTGCAGCTCTAAAATAAGCAAATATAAAATATTTTAAAATGATTACAATAATTTTATAATATAATAATTTTAGAAGTATGGTAGCTGCATTCAATTTTAAAAAAAGGGGCAAAGGCGGTACTTAGTGCTAAATTTTGTCATTATTGCTGTCAAAGATTGCGTGTCTTTGCCTGCTGATGTAAAATAGTGTGCATTTTGTAGATCCTTGGATGTACTGGCTAGTTGCCGTTAATTTATGTTGAGAGAAATTCAAAAGAAGCCCAAGTCTTTTAAATCCTTTTCAACAAATGAAAGCTCGGTTATCACCCACAGCAGAATCTCTGTCATCTGGGACTGACTGATGAGGGTTTTAACTGTCAACAGACTGTGGGACGAGAATCACACACAGCAGAGCTTCTGTGTAACATCATTTCACTCCGCTATCATCTCTCTGTTACTCTATTTCTCATCATGTCTCCCAGGGAACACACAAAGTGAGGAAGTCGAGGAAAACCATGTCAAGTTGGGCTGGAAAAATGGCTGCATGGATAAAAACCTCTCCAGCTTGATTTATTCAAAATGTAGATGAGAGTTTATAGAGCATCGCTCTGTCTTTTTCTGGCTCTCATTTTGTTTTTAAGAGGGTGAATAAAGGACGTGATTGTGCGAATATAATGCATCTTAAAATATCTACCATAACAACGAGCTTCCCAGAAATCAGTTATGAACATGAAATGGATCGTTTAAGCCTAATCAAACTCAGTGTGTAACATCAGCTGGGGTGATGAGGTGACTCACTATCTCCTTTGCATCCGTAGAAGTTTCTGAAGTTCTTTCAGATCCTTCTCCAGCGAGGGAAACTCATAGAGATCATCCAGAACATATCTGTACAGAGTCTGCAAATGTGAAATGAACACAAGATTGACATTTCAGGTTGTAAATGGGAAATGTAAACCGAACCGGTGTGCACCATTTCACCGAGATACATGTTCACATGCAGCTTATGAAAATGAAAATGTCTGAGGGCATTTAAAAATCCTCTGAAGCCAGCAATAATCTCACGATCTTGTCCTTATTATGTGGCATTAAGGAATCAAAGGCAGTAGGGTTGGTGGCATTTTTGTATTTCCAAAAATAACTCCCTCCCTTTTCTCCATCCGTACCTTGAGGAATAGTTTGGCGTGCTCGTCGTCCCGCGGCAGGTCTGCGCACAGCGAGCTCCACTGGGACAGCAGGTGCAACACTTTTCGTTTCCTAAGCAGAGTGTCTCTCCCCTCCTCTTTCACCCTGCCTTTCTTTGAACAATAGGTGGACCAGGAGCAGTTAAGGCATCAAATCTATTCCAGCACACTAGACCGCTCGGATACACAGTTCAGAGGAAGGAGGAAACGCCTGCGGCTGAATTCTCTGTATTAAATTAACAGGGGTTCAGTAACAGTGAATTAATTGCATGCACTCGGCTAAACGGCGTGGAATTTGTTAAGTGGTTTAACACCAGATAGGTCGCGTTGTTAAGATCGTGTAAAAGAACATGCATAACATAGTTCTGCATGGTCACAGTACAGTTTCACGAATTGCTTATTGTTTCATGGGGGTCTCAGATCATCTCACATTACTTTATAGAGAATCCATGACAGAGGACACACAATATAATACACAATATATAATAATTTACAATAATGATGACTATATACACTACACGTCACTGTACACTTAAGGTCTTATGCTTAAAGTCTTGAATTTATTTTTGTAGATGAAGATTACTTGTGCCTATATTTATACTTCCAAACAAAAAATTGTGTGTGTGTGTGTGTGTGTATATATATATATATATATAGTTATATTAGTGCTGTCAAATGATTAATCGCATCCAAAATAAAAGTTTTTGTTTATATATGTATACTGTGTATATTTATTATGTGTATATAAATACAATCACATGCATGTATATATTTAAGAAAAATATGTTATGTTTATATATTAAATATATTTATATATAATATAAAATATAAGAATGTAAATGTATATACATGTAAATATTTTCTAAATATATACTGTATGTGTGTGTATTTATATATACACAATAAATATACACAGTACACATATATATATATATTATGTAAACAAAAACTTTTATTGCAAAAACTGCTGAAAAGTCAGCTTTGCATAACAGAAATAAACAATTTTTAAATATATAAAAAATTACAAAATTGTATTAATATTTTGCAATATTACAGTTTTTACTGTATTTTTGATCAAATAAATGCAATCTTGGTTAGCATAAGAGACTACTTTTAAAACATATTACTAAATATTTAAATTGTTGTTTATATTGTATTGTAAACACAGTTCACCTTTACAAATGTAAGCAGGCAGCTGTTATATAAAACAACATCAGCAATGAAGCATATGATGAGAAGGATATTGACCGAGTAGTGCTTGGCACAGGTCACTGGTGGACATGAACACAGGGTACGTCAGCAGGAAGTCATCCAATAGATTCTCTGAAAATGAACAGAACATGTAATACGCATTAGACATTTTAGTAAGAAAACAACACAAAATCATAAAAAAACTCAATGAAGAACATTTTTAGGATTTTAAAGGAATAGGTCACCCTTGTCATTTCAGTTTTATTTGTTCTTGTGAAACACAAAGGAGATGTTTTGAAGAATGTTCATGCTGCTCTTTTTCAAATAGCGAGAAATGAGACTTGAAAAAGGCCGGAAAAAAACCCAAAACAAAACATAAAAGCATCATATGATCATTTCATATGACTGAAGTGCTATAGTCCAAGTCTTCAAGTCATCCAATATCTTTGTGTGTGAAAAAAACTAAATATAATTCACTGAAGGAAGTTTGTTGAAAATCTGTAGTCACCTTTCACTGTATTGAATAGAGCAGCTTGTACATTCTGTCAAAAATCTGTTCTATGGAAGAAAAAAGGTCATACGCTTTGCGAAAGACATGAAGATGAGTAATTTAATTTTGGGCCAAGCTATTCCTTAAAACCTGATGTTTTAAAGTAAAACACTGCAGCTACATTGAGACGGTAAATGTTAAGACTCTGGTGCGTGTAGTGTCATAAAAAATTCAGCACAGCTGAATCAGACCCAACAGGCAGTTTACATGTGCTCTCGTTTGTTTTCCTCTGTTCTCTCTCTTTCCTCCTGACCTCCTTTCTCCTACATTATCACACTTTGCTATTGCACCACTTTAATTAGAGTTGTGTTTGCCTGGAAGCATTCAGTGCCACTGTTCATACATCATCTCGCTGTGAAAGTATGACTGAAGGAACGAGTGCTCGGTGCGTGGTGACCTTGAGCAAGGCTGCTAATGTTTTTAATCCCACTGCGCAGCGATGGCGGCAATCCTTATCTGCCTCGCAGAACGACAGAACGTTTCCTCTGTGTAAAGTAATGGGCCACATTTAACCATATGCTGTGTAACCTTTGTTAAAGAGATTCATTTCATTCTGGAAAAGACGAAAAACCCTTTATCATTCACCTTAGTATACCCCCATATGATATGCAGGAATTCTTTTTGTTTCCATTATTTCACCAACAGGCAATAATTCTTGATAGAACAACAATTCATATAGTATTATAGAGCCCCAGTAGAATATTTCATCAATGAATAGGATCCAAACAGATCTGATCAGCACTCTATTCAAACAAAACATTTCACACACAAACAAAACAATAAAATAAAAATAAAAGTTTGTTAGGCTTAATTATATGTTGCATATTGCATATAATAATAATAATAATAATAATGCTTGTTGTACAGTATATATACTATACATACATTTATATATATATTTAAAACAATTTTGGCAAGTAATATTTTTGTGGAAACCGTGATATACTCTCATAAGATAAAGATAAATAAATTAATATTTTTATTCAGCAGGTACACATTACATACAAAAGTGACAGTAAAAACATTTATAACGTTACAAAAGATTTGTGCTTTCAAATAAATGCTGTTCTTTTGAATTTTCTATTCATTAAAGAATTCCGTTTGCACAAAAATATCAAGCAACACAACAAAATGATTTCTTTAATTAATTTAATAAAAAAATATGCAATGGCTGCTGACAATTCAGCTTTGCCATCAGGAATAAATTATTACCGTTTAATCAAATAAATGCAGACTTGGTTAGCAAAGACTTTTCAATTTTTTTCTTCTTTCAATTGTTTTTTGTGTTACTGCTTTTTATTATAATAATACATAATTTAGTTTGCAAATGACACTTGATATATTGATATTTTTACATTTACATTTACAAGTGTTCAAATACTTTTTGGGGGCCACTCTATGTTTGTGCATATCCAGCAAGACATTATTGAAAGTATACTTAAGAATTATGTTTGTACAACATGCACACTGCTCCACACAGCTCAAGAAAGAAGAGAACTTTTGTTTCCACGACTTTGACACCTGTCACAAACATATTACAGAGGCACTTGTACTCAACTGTCTTGCAATTGGGTAAAAAAGCTGCAGGTTCACGGCTTGGATCTTGTGGTTACTGAGCCCTTACCAGTTCTACACACCATCCCCACTATATCCTACAGCTAATAATAGAGACAAAATCCAGAGAAAGTGAACAAGAAGAGAAAGGGAGAGTAGAACATTAAATGGCCCTTTATACGCCTGACCTCTCTGCTGATCCCACTGAAACAGACTATTACTCTCATAATGACACTATTACTCTGATAAGGCCGTAATGACTGATGTGCATTCACTGCTCATTCCGCTTTAATTTGCTCTGCAGGAATCTAAATTTCACCATTCGCTCTCACAGACATCAATCGATATTCTCATCTGATCTGCGGATCGACAGAATCTCTACATCTAAGCCTCTGAATCATAATCGGTTTTGGGCTTGTGAGAAATGTAGACGCTTTAAACGTACATTCCGAACACCTTTTAACAAATGTAACAACACTGAGCAAAACCTGATGTTGTGCTTCACTTGTTTATTTTTCAATTCAACTTTTTACTCCAATTATGTAATTTGTAATAAACAAAAACCAAATACTGTGAGAAAAAAAATTCACAAGTGGCATATCTGTACATTCTGAGTTTCTATATTCAAACATTTATCAATGATGCACAAAAAAAAAAAAAAAGATTTTCAAAGTGACTTTGGCACTTTTAATTGAAGTTAATAATCATTATCGGAGAAAATGTCTCATAATTAGACTCAGAGGAAACATTAAACTGAGCAATTGATGGAGAAGGGCCTTGTCTAGACTGGCGACCAAGAAGATGATGGTCACTCTAGCTGAGCTCCATGAACATATATTCAGACAGCAGGAGAAATCTACATAAGGACAAACACCACTGCAACACTCCACCAATCTGGGCTTTATGCCGGTGTTGCCAAACTCAATCCTCTCCTCAGTGAAGACACATGAAAACCCACTTGGAATTTGCAAACAAAGTGACTTTGGCACTTTTAATTGAAGTTAATAATCATTATCGGAGAAAATGTCTCATAATTAGACTCAGAGGAAACATTACATTTACTGAACACATGCCCCAATGCAAAAATACAATAAAACAATTCACCCTCTTGGCTAGAGGATCAATAAACATTATCACCAAAATCAAATATGAACTGGTAATGAAATAGATCAGATCTGTCCCTCAAACCATTATTATGAATTATTTATAAGCCTTCAAAAGACTCTCATGTTTAAAAACATTCTTTTAAGCATGAATCTGACAAATATGAATGAGCTTTTATGAATATTAGGATTAAAAAAAGAACATTTTGCCAGTGGGGTAAGAAAAGTAAACTTAATATCTTGTGCAATTTTGCCTTTCAAGTATACAGTCGTTCAAAAGTTTGTAGTCGATACGATTTTTGAAATGTTTTTGAAATAAGTGTCTTATTCTCACCACAACTCCATTTATTTGATCAAAATACAGTAAAAACTGTGAAATATTATAACAATTTAAATTAAGTCATATATTTAAAAAAAAAAAGTAATTTATTTTTTATGATGGCAAAGCTCAATTTTCATTAGCCATTTGGTGTCACATGATCCTTCAGAAATCATTCTAATATGCTGATTTGATGCTCTAGAACAGGGCTGTCCAAACTCCGAAACTCAATCCTCTCCTCAGTGAAGACACATGAAAACCCACTTGGAATTTGCAAAACAGCACCTAAAGGACCCTCAGACTGTGAGAAACAAGATTCTCTGGTCTGATGAAGCTCAGTTCCAATCATCATGTTTGAAGGAAACCAGCTCTGCTCATCACCTGCAGAGTACCATCCCAAAAGTAAAGTGTGCTGGTAGCAGCCTCATGCTGTGGGGCTGTTTTTCAGCGGCAGGGACTGAGGGACTCGTCAGAGTAGAAGAAAAGCTCAATGCACCAAAATATAGAGATAGCCTTAATGAAAACCCAGTCCAGAGCATTCAGAACCTCAGACTGGGCAGAAGGTTCACCTTCCAACAGGACAATGACCCTAAGCACACAGCAAGAGTGGCTTAGGGCCTATTTACACCTGGTCACGTCATGCGTTTTTCGCTGATCGGATATCTATCTGATTTGTTAAAACGTTTCCATTTACACTTGACCACATAAATGTGCCTTCGCAAAAATAATATAAATCCGGTCTTCAATTCCCACGCTATTTGCAAATTTGACGGAGTTCACGTTAGCGAAAGCAACAGATAAGCGCTGCATTTTATTCATTATCAGCTAATTTCAAGATCAAAGACCGCAACAGGAGAGAGCGCGGCCTTAGCACTGGAAAGATAGGTTAGTCTCACTACTTTTAATGAAGATGATTGTGTGTTGAGCGTCTGCGACTTACTTTCTTTCATTTGTGGCAGTTTGCGCGTCGGCTTGCTGAAGAGCTACTCATCCGCGGTGATGCATGTTGCATTAGCGCTGTCATATCTGACTATAACATGCCATATAGCCTAAAAACGCTCTAACACGTTTATTATTTTAATATTTTGGGAGGAGTCAAATTTGCATGTGTGGTTTCAACAACCAGATGCATTTACACTTGTCCAGTTTCATCTGGAATGCGGCCCAGACCACCTCCTGAAGTGGTTTGAGAGATCAGATTTATATCCATCTCGAATGCGTTTCAGAGGGCATTTACACCTGGTCTTTTCACGATCGGATAGCTATCCGATCACTGATCAGAGAAAACGCATGAAGTGACCAGGTGTAAACAGGCCCTTATATACAACTCTGTGAATGTACTTGAGTGGCCCAGCCACAGCCTGGGCTTGAACCCAATCAAATACATGTATTTCTGGAGAAACCTGAAAATGTGCGTCTGCCCCCATCCAACCTGACAGAGCTTGAGAGGTGAAGAGGCGCGAAGAAGAAGAATGGCAGATAATTGCCAAATGATGATGATCAAAGCTTGTCACATCATACGCAAAAAGATTTGAGGCTGTAATTGGTGCCAAAGGTTCTTCAACAAAGTATTGAGCAAAGGCTGTGAATACTTATGTACATGTGA